CCAAAGTCTACTTTGGGTAACCCCTTGGGCCTTCACTGCTCTGCGCCCCTTGTTCTGTTGCATGCCCTTAGTCTTTCGGCATAGTGGGGTCGAGCAGTCACAATTATCGCAGTGTGTCTCAAGTTGCTTTACCCCCGTAGTGTCCGTGAGGGGCGTTGTGTCTCGTGGTGGGGCTGGCCTGATGCTCCTCTCTGTGCCTTGGCTGCTCTGAGCAGAATCATCGTCCTCAGGGCTTGGTGGGCCAGGATGTGCTCCACTCTTTTTCCTCGCCCCTCGTTTGCTCCTGTGCGCTCTGAGCAGACTCGTCCCCTCTATTTGGCGGGTAGCTTCAGTGCTGTCCTCTGAAAGGAATTCGTCTAGGGAGAACGGTTTTTAAGCCTGTCACGGTAGTTTTTTTCACTCAGGCAGTCTATTAAAAAAATTTTTTTTAACTAAGTAGGTTTGCCCCAATTTAAATCTGCTGCTAATAATATTATTTAGCATAATCTTTTCGAGCTTACAAAGTTAGCAAGTTCTACCTTTACCACAACCTAGTTAGAATAGATATTCTTGCTCTTAAATAATGGCTGCACACTGGGAAAAGCAGATAGATCGAAGAGACAGGCCTGAGGTCCCAAAGCACTGCTCTTTCCTCTGTTTCACAACAGGAGGAGGATCTGTTTGCTCATCCTTGGATCCCTGGTGTCGTAAATTAGAGCAGGATCTCTCAAAACAAGAACAGCCGTGCCAGAGAATTATTGGAAAGCAAGTCCAATAATTAGAAATCCAGGCTATGAAAACCAAAACATTCTCATCATTTCTTCTTGCCTAACAGGGAAATGCTAATACTTAACATTGTCATAAATTTGAGCAAGATATTCCAAATTAAATATATATACATATATATGCATATATAATACACTCAAGACACACGTTAGGATTCTTGAAGCCAAATCAAACTCAAGAACAGTGAATTCACTGCCATCAAGATGCTGCTACACGCACGGACAGCAACTTCGGGGAAAGGAGAAGTGCCCCTTTGGGTTTCCAAGGTTGCAAGCCTTTACAGAACAAGACAGCCTCATCGTCCTCCTGTGGAGTGGCTGCTGGGTTCTAACTGCTGACCTCATGGTTTGCAGAGTAACACAAGCCGCCAGCTCATTAGGAAGATTCCAGGTGGTCCTGCAAGCACCGCGAGAGTGCATTCTGTAGTTCTGAGCAGATGGTAACCAGAATGCTAAAATGCTGTGTTGTCAGATAACAGGGAGCTAAAAAACCTCCCCCACCCTTTTTCTGAATGACAATTTTGGATTCTTTGATGCACCCACAAGTGTACAAAATCTAAGCAAGAGCCACTCATTTGCTATTTATTGTGGCAACAGTGCCTGGTATTTATACAGCACATTCCATTGTGTGACTTCCAAGAATGATACAATCTTTCTGCTGAAACAGATGGAGAAACTGAGTCACCCAAGACCTCCCATGTAGTCACCATTAGGCTCGTGCCTAAGCCATCTCATTTCCCTTCTGCCAGGACTACAGCAGGATCTGGTTAGAAACCAGGCATGATAACAAGAATGGTTCCACTTAACCTTACCACAAGGCTCAGGAACATATAGCAAAGATGGTACACAGCAACACCCCCGCCCCAAACCAACGCTCTCTTCCTCTGAGTTATAACCTGAGAAATGGGCCCACGAGTAAGTCAGCGGGGATTCCATGTGTCCGATTCCAGGGCTCAGGAAGGCCCTCTGATGGATTTCCCTGACATACATCACCACCAAAGGAATTCTGACGGAATGTGACTGTACGTTTCAGAGACTGCAAATCTTTACAGAAGCAGACAGACAACCTCATCTTTCTCCTGAGGATAGGCTGGTGGTTTTGAACCCCAGACCTCATCTGCAATGCCTAAAATAAACTTCCTTAATATGGTATCCCCGAAACATCAATTTCTGCCAAAAATAATTCTTTAAAGATTTTGTGTATATGTATGTAATATACATATACAGACACAATGTATGTATATATACATCTAAACATGTCATTGTGGCTCCGAGTCAGTCTGAGAAGTGCAAAAAAAGAGAATACGAAGATGTTTCCAGCAAAAGGGCATTAAAAGGGAAGAGACTGAATGAGAGAGACACAGAGAGGCACAGAAGAGAGAGTAAGAGGCTATCAGGAAAAAGGGGGATCTGTTTTATAATCCTGCTTAAATTCCAAAACCATTTATCTTCCTTTCTAACTGATGTCAGGCAGCAGTGTCATCTCGCTAGGGCTTCAATAGCTCTTCGCAGTCTGTGTCTTAAATGATACATATCTCTCTCCACAAGGCTTTGAGGGTTTGCTAGCGGTTAAGTTTGAGTCATTCCATTACGTCTAAGGATCTCGACCGTTTCAAAGGAAACCTGGACGAATTAATACACCTGTCAGGTGTGTGATGAGATGTTGAAAGCCCATTCAGTGATCATGCTGGCATTATCCAGGAAGTGGTCAGGGCCATGTATGAGTTTCGCAAGATAAGAGATTTGGACAGGTTGTCTAGTTCAGTAATTTACTAACCCTGGGGCCTTGGGCAGGCATCCTAAGCTCACATTTCCTTTCTGACTTATCTATTAAAACGAGGGTAATAAGGCCGCCTAGCCCACACGTTATCAAGAGGATTAAATTAGATAAAACACACTGGGCACAGAGCTGAGTGCTCATGATGAGAACAACTAAGGATGCCACGTTCAGAATTCAACAGAAAGTAACAAACAGGGCAACTCAGACACACTCGGTCCTGCTGTTTCCAAGGGTTAGGCAGCTGCTGTGTGACCGAGTGAAGAGTTCGAAGCAACACAGTTTAGTAGTTAAGAGAATACAAGATGGGTGTGTTTCAACTTATCTGCCCACTTATAAAATGCATACACAAATAACAGCTGCCTCCTAAGGAGTTAAGTGTATGGAATGGTTTGAGTGGAATACATTCTTAATAGACTTGATACTGCTCCCAAGGGGATAAATATTGATTTGGGGTGAGAGGAGAAAAGTTACCAATATTCTTGTGGTTTGATAGCTCACCCCATCTGTCAAAATCCTCATTATTCAATTCCTCTTATTATGGAGAAATGAAGTTCAATTTAACTTCAGATTAATTTAATATACATTTAACGTTATTGTTCTCCTGAGGCAAACAATAATAAGGAAAAAAGTTAAGAAGCACTGAGTTGGTATGATATAAATCATTTACCACATTATATTACACTAAGCATGATATACTAATTATACTAAATATCTAAGAAATAGTTATGATCATTATTTTTGTTTTCAGGTTAGTGGTTCTGG